GTCTGTTAGGTCACGTGTTCTTCTAGGTGAAATAACTAGGGGATTCTAGCCTTATTTGTTTAAACAGTAGGGCTTCTGTAGTAGGTAGCTTACAGTCTAATTATAGGTTGTAGCACTAGCTAAGAGAAGAGGTGCGACTAAATACATAGGGGAATGTAATCAGGTAGGCGCCCCGCCTGCTAAGCTAATACTATATAACTTTCCCCACTGTACTAAAAGGTACGCACAAGAATACTTAAGCTAAGTATTCTTGCATAGTATAATATATATATAGGTAATGCTAGGGTAAGCACTAGCACTAGCAGTTGTCTCTAGCCTAGCCTAAACCTCTATGAGCAAGAGAAGGCCACGTGGTTGACCGTGCCGACCTTGTTACAGGGAATAGAGGTAGCAGTAGGGGGCAGGGCAGAGTTAGGGCTAGGTTAGGGTTAGAGTTAATACAAAGGCCTTCTAGACTCTTAAGATAAAATAATTTATAAGAATTATTACACTACTCTCTCTCTTTATAGACTAATAGTTTTTATTAGTAGGTAGAAGTATTACTATTATACTTTTTACCTTCTTAAACTAAAACTAGTCTAATTAAGCTAAGTGTTCTTACTCTAAGTATTCCTTTACACTACTAATAGTGTTTTTTAAACTAAACACTACTAGGCTTACTATTTATACAGTTATTAATCTTAGGTGTGCGTTTAGTGTAGTAACATTTAAGTGTTATTAAAGGTGCTTTAAACTTCTCTTACTATTAAAGTAGTAATAGTAATTTAAAGCATTATTAAAAGTAATTTAGTAGTTAGTAGAGGTTAATAATTTTAACTTAGTTAGCTATAGTTTAACTTTAAATTAAGTAAGGTTTTAGCTTTAAGTTCTATAAAAGTAGGTTTAGCTATTATTATTTAGCTTTAGTAGTAAGCATTTTACTTTAGCTAAAGCTAGAGTAAGTTTTAAATCCTTCTATTAAAATCTAAAAAAAAGTAGTTAGTTAGACATTAGTAGTTATCTTTAATTTTAATAAGTTATTAGTAGTTTCTAAGTTTTTACTTTAGCGCACTTTATATAACTTTTCTAAAAGTAATTTTAATTATAAAAGAGAAAAGTTCTAAACCTAAAGGCTTTAGTTAACTAAAAGTCTTTAGAATCTAGTCTATATAACTAAATAGTTTAGTATAATAGTATATAAAAATTATAACTTAAACTAAATTAAACATATTTTAAGCTTAGATATAGTTAAATAAATAATTAATATAATATTATAATAAAGCTGTTACTAGTAAAAGTAAGTTCTTTAATATAATATAATAGCATAAGTAAGATAATAAGTTTAAATGCAGTAGAAATCTACTTAGAGGCATATAGAAGTGCATAGAGACTTAGAAACCTAGGAATTCTATTAACACCTATAGGCTTTATATAAAGAGATATTAGAAAACTACTAAGCTAGCTAGAAGAAGAGGTGCAACTAAATACATAGGGGAATAAAGGTAACAGCAGAGGGCAGAGCAGAGTTGGGGCTAGTTTAGGGTTAGAGCTAATACAAGGGCCTTCTAGACCCCTAAGATAGAATAATTTATAAGAATTATTATACTTTATAAGTAAGTTACTTATATACCTAAGTTATTTACTTTTACTAAGACTACACTAAACTACTTTTTTTACACTACTACATTTTTAATAACACTACTTAGATATATTAAAAAAATGTTAAATATAGCTTACTTATAATAATTTTTATAAATTATTTTATTTTAAGTTGCTTAGAACTTATTTAAAAGGTTTTTATATTAGCTCTAACTTTGTTCCCTGCTGTTACCTTTATTTCTTTAAGTATTTAGTTATACCTTTTTTTTTTAGCTAGCTTAATAGTTTTCTAATATTCTTTTATACAAAGACTATAAATGCTAATAGTATTCCTAGGTTACTAAGTCTCTACGCACTTTTATATGCCTCTTATAATAAGGTTAGCACAGTTAACTATATAGCCTTCTCTTGCTTATAGAGGTTTAGGCTAGGCTAGAGACAACTGCTAGTGCTAGTGCTTACCCTAGAATTACTTATATATATATTCTACTATGTAAGAATACTTAGCTTAAGTATTCTTATGCGTACTGTGGAGGATAAAATAGCCTGGCAGTAGCTGTTCAGAAGATCGGATGAAGTGACTCTGCTATCTAAGAGAGCTGAAGGCTCTCCTTATATACACCGAGCTTCGGAACATAATATCTCCAGATCCCGAGCTGCGTCCCAGGCTCTGAGCCCCAGTCCCAGGCTCCGAGCCCCAACCAAGGCTCTCTGTATACGCGACACGTACCTTTTAGTATAGTAGGGAAAGTTATATAGTATTAGCTTAGTAGGCAAGTGTTATAATCTATAGTTAGACTATAAGCTACTAACCTTTTATGCTCTACTATTTAAATAAATAAAGCTAGAATATCCTTATTACTTTACCTATTAAGCTATGTAATTTAATAGATAAAAAGTAGATAAAGCTATTAAACGAATGCATAGTAAAATGCACTATTTAATAAGCTAAAAATGTTTAAGCGTAAGTAAGCGTAGTTATGTATAGTAAAAAACAGCTATTAAAAAGCGCTTAATAGTGCTTAACAACATATAACTTTATATATATAGTTTAGAATTTTAACTATTATAGAAAGTTATAATTAAAGTTTAGTTTATTATTATATAAACTAAGCAGTATTACTACTTTCTAATAAAAGTAATACTAATTATATATCTTATACTATATATACTTTTATCTTATTTCTACCTAGGAACT